AATAAAATAAAATAAAATGGCTAATGTTTCTATCAGCTTCTGAACTGGACGGGGCTGATAGGATGGAGAGAAAGCGTGGATTTTCAAATCCAGGCTTGTCACCTGTTAGCTCCATGGCCTTGAGCAGGTTACTTATCTTCTCTGAGCGTTGGTTGTCTCATCTATAAAATGAGAATAATTCCTGCCTTGCAGGCTTGTCGTGAGGACCCCATGTGCTGAACAGGCCTGACATTGTGCCTGGCCCTTAGGAATGCTCTCGCAACCACAGTAATTATCACTGTTGTTCTGCAACTTCACCTGGCTTCACAGAGCAGGAAGGAGCTTTGGGGCAGGCTGGAATTTGGGTTGGTGACCTCAGGACAAATTCCTTATCCCAAGCTCATCACCTAAGAATGGTGCTGCGTCCTGAGCGGCTCTGCTGTCATTACACCTGTTTTGCTCCTGCTGGTGGAGTGCGGTTCAAGAACGCCGAGCCTGGGTCTGGATGGAGGAGGCCAAAATGTGGAATTTATTTATTAAGGTGGTTGCTCACGAGGCCCTAGATTCCGGGAGGTTGCGGTTTAATTACTGAGAGTGGAGCTTGTGGAAGTTCTCTCTGGTGCCCCAGCTTTGATGTCGCTGGGGAACCTGAGGTGCCACCCCAAGTGGGACTCTCAGCCCGGGCTGCAGATGAGGCTCAGGGCTGCCTTCCTCTGCTGAGCGCGTTTCTGTCCACTTACTTGTTTACTGGAGAGCAGTGTACCATGGTGGGGGGGAGCCTGGACGTTCTGGGTTCGAATCCTGCCCCAAAACGGACTAGGACGGGCTAGCTGGGTGAGCATAGACTAGTGCCCTCATTTGTAAAACCTTATAGGGATGCTTGTTGCAAAGACTGAATGATTCATATACGTGGAGGGTTCAGAACAGCGCGCGGCCAACAGCGAGCCAGAATGTATGTCAGCTGTTTCTTTAAAGCAGTGTTCTCACCTGGGGGGGACTTTACCCCCCAGGGAGCACGTGGCAAAGTCTGGAGACATGCTTGGTTGTCACAACCAAGGGGGAGGTGCCTTTGGCTGGTAGAGCCCAGGGAGGCTGCTAAATAACCTCCCATGGGTGGCACAGTCACCGCAACAGAGAAGTATCCAGTCCAGAATGTCACTAGTGCTGAGGTTGAGAAACCAAGCATTCTGGGCAGCACGTGGAACATGGAAGGAGGTCGTGTTCCTCACCACCCCCACCCTTATCTGTCCTTTGATCTGCTCCCCTCCCTCTCCTCCCCTCGCTGGTGTCCCTCCCACTGTGCCCAGGGCCCCAGTCCAGCTCCCCCAGGCTTCCCCTGGCTCACCTGCTCACCTGACCACTGACACCTCCTTTTCCTCTCAGCCAGCTCGGTTTTTTATCAGAGTACCTATCCCCTTCCTCCTTACTAGGTTATTTACCCACTGATTACTTCTCGTTTATTTCATTTTGTCTGTTCTCCCTTCTCCCTAGAATGTACATAGGGACTTTGGCCTGTTTTTGCACTGCTGTATCCCAGTCCCAGTAAGTGCTCAGAACGTCTGTTGATTGCATGGATGAATGCGTTCCCCAAGGCCACGCGGCTGGTACGTGACATGCCAGGATGTCAGTTCTTCGCCGTCACCCATGTCGCTCCTTCTTCCCAAAGTGGCCCCCAGCCCCCCGCCCCATCCAGCACAGCATCTCCTAGAAGTGCCCCAGACGTTTCCCGGATCTGGTCAGTCACCACGTTCTGACTCCGCCTCCAGAACGCTTTGTGGATGTGCACGGTGATACCGACTTCATCTGAAGGACGAGCCTGCTCTGTTTCCACCCAGGGGCTTCTCCGTGGCCCTGGGAGCCCAGCCCCAGCTGTTGGCCTGTCCTCAGGGCCGTCACCAGCAGACCGGCAGCTGGCACGTCACACCCACACCCCCTCCCGCAGCCGCAGTGCAGTCCAGGCTCCAACACTGCTCCTGTCCCGCAGTTCCACCTGCTGAAGTGTCCCAAGCCCTCCCACCCTCACCGTCCCTTCTCCGTCACCCCGCAGCCCAAGCCCGGCCCTCACCTGGCCCAGCAGGGACCTGCCCTCCAGCTTCTCTCCATCTCTCCTCACACCGCAGCCCTCACGCCACAGCCACAGGGGTCTCAGGCTTTACCCGACTCTCCCGCTTGAACCTCTCCTCACCCCCCCCGAGACCCATGTGGTCCAGTACCTTGAGCCCCCTCACCTGCCTCCCTGGCCTCAGCTACACCTTCTTCCTCCAGTTTTCCCAAAGGCCCAGTCTCTTCCTGTTTGAGGACCTTTACGTGTGTGTGTGTGTGTGTGTGTGTGTGTGTGTGTGTCCCAACCCAGCTCCTCCTGACCTGAGTAACAGCTCAGAAGTCACCTCCAAGGGTGCCTGCCCCCAGGGCGAGGTCAGATTCCCAGCTGCGCGTCCTAGGGCACCTTGCACTTACCACCCCCGACCCCTGACCCCCATCATTTATCACCATCTGAGGCTCTGTTTACCAGGGTGTGACTTGATTCATGCCTGTCTCCCCTGCTCACTGGGAGTCATTATCACAAGCATGCTCGCCTGTGTATCCTCAATGCCCAGCACAGGGCCTGGTATATAATAAACAGATGCTCAGTAATTGTTTGTTCAAAGAATGTCTGTTCCCTCTGCCTGCAGCGCGCTTCCCCATCTTCTCTACCAGCAAACTCCTATTATTCATCCTTCAAGACCCAGTTTCAGGGTCTTCTGCTAGGAGCTGGTCCCTCCCCTTCCTCTGTGTTGCCACAGAGCTTTGCACATCCCCTTACTCTGCCACTTAACTACACTGGGTCGAGGCCCTGGGTTTTTTCCTCTCACCTCTGAGCTGCTCAGGGGGAGGTGCTGGGCACGGCACGTTACGTGCAGTTGGCACTCTTGGAAGTGTTTGTGTTTTTAACCTGACCTATCTTTTTGGTTCATTGTTACATATTATTTGTGTTGTTTTCCATTTGCCTTGTGCAGTGTGGTTTCCTCAGCCATTCTGGAAGCTCCTGGAAGGCAGGCTTAGTGTCACAGCCCCACCTTTGTATCTCCTGCTTCCTGAGCCTGACACAGGGCTGTGTTCACCTAGAGAGGTTTTATTCTAGTAAATCTTTCCTGAGTCCATGTCATGTCTACGTAAGGTTACGGTCCCCTTGGCAGTTGAGAGCACTTGACATCCTTGCCCTCATTCTGGACTGGCTAGATAGTTGGTGGCACCCGATGCAGGACCCCTTGTTAAAAGAGTTATTCAGAATTGTAAGACGGCAACAGGAGAGCATTAAGCCAAGAGTAGGGCCCTTATGAGTGCTCGGACCTGTGCTGGTGCCCAGGCCTCATACTCACGAAGCCAGCCCTCATCTCCTTGCATCCTCCGAGGGAGGACACGGTAGAGGTCCTGATTTCCTTTTGACCAGTGGCAAACTGGAGGGCTCAGGGGGCAGTGACTGACCTCAGATTGCACAGCTGACCATCGACAGAGTAGAACGGGAAACAGAGTCCAGCTCTGGAAGCGTGCTCACCGTCTCCACCGGCTCTGGGGCCCCAGGCGCTTTGGTCCTCGGTTTCCTCCTCTGTAAATTGGGAACATTGACCTGATCATCGGGTGGCAAATGGAACAGCTGGTGTGAGTCCCCAGATGGTCCCATCAGGAGCCACCACATCCCATAGGCGCCCTCTCCTTCAAGTCATGAAGCCAAGGTTCCTCTCTGTTTCTTGGACAGTCCGAGCCCTGTAGACAGTAGGAGGCTAATTGGCTGTTGGGGTAGTTGGAAAATTAAAGCCCCTCAGAAGTGGGAGAAGGTTGTCTCTTTTCATCTCTTTTTGAAGGAATGTGGGGACTTGGGTAGAAGGTTCCCCAGGGATCCTTGGTATTTCAGTGCTTTGATGTCTAGAGGAATAAAAGAGCAATTAATCGTTGTAAATGTCTTTCCCGTAGGGTAGGCTGAGGGTGGCGGGGGTGGCAGTGGCGGGTGACTGCTCTTCCATCCCAGGGCCATCACTGGTCTAAGGGCTCTGCAGACCAGAGACCCAGGGTCAGAGCAGCATCTCCCTGTCGGGGAGGCTTCTGAATCTCACTTCCTCTGGAAAGCACGTTTTCCTCAGCCTCTTGGGTGGGTGAGTAGCAGAGATTGCTGAAGACAGATGGGTTGCAGAGCTCCCCTTGGTCCCCTAGAATAGGTTTCTCAATTATCCAAAGACATCTGTCCTCACCGCAGGGCTGAGAGCCAGGAGTCCACCTTTAAACCAAGTGCTCTGAGGCCCACACGCCGCAGTGGAGGGGTGGCCGGGCTGCCACGGGCAGGCGAGACTCCGGCCCCCCCGCCCGCACCTCCACCCACCATTAGCAGCCTCCCTCCTGCCTGGTCAACCTGCAGAGGACCCAGACGATGAGGGTGTGTGTGGAAGGCCAAAGAAGAGAAGAGAATGTTCTCTGATTCCTAGAAGAGGTGTGTTTGGGGCAAGCACACCTGTGGCCAGACTAGTAGGTTTTAAATTATCTGAATCTGGGGTGTGTGTGTGTGTGTGTGTGTGTATGTAAACTTATGTTTCCATATACAACTACAGATGTTCCCCAGGCACACAAACACCATGCAAGTCTGAGCACAAAGTGGGCGGAGCGCCGAGGTAGCTGTGCCTGGCTTGTCGTGTTGTTTGGTGGGTGGGATGCCTTCTCGGGCAGGTGCAGGACTTGCCCATCAGCTGCCCGGAAGTGATTCACTCTGGTCCTCGACATCTCCCAGCGCGGCTCTCAGTCGGCCTCGGTGACTAACCCAAGGGGAGGAGGGTGTGTAGTGACCTGCTTTGGCAGGAAATGACAGTGCATAGCTGCAGCCAGCACCTTATCCCAGGGTGCTGGTGCAAGTTCCTGGGCTGGCCAGACATACAGATATTTCTAGACCGTGCAGGGCCCTTGGCCACAAGCTTCCCGCCATCCACCTATATCCCACAGCACCGGCCGTGGCTCCTCCTGGCTCCTCCCGTGACCTGTGTTCTGTGTTTCCACAGGGCTGCACCTTCCTCCTTCTCCCCGGCCACAACCTGCCCGTCACAGTTGAGCACCTGTTTTCCTGAAGGTGATTTCCAGAAGCAGGTAAGGACCCCAGGGGAAGGACGTCTGGTAGAGTGGCCATAGAACGGCGTTGAGGAGAGGGCCTTGGGTACTGGCTCTAGGGCTGACCGTGAAGCTAGCACATCTCATATCCTTTCTTCATCGTCCCTGATAATGCTCATTGCTTCAGCTGTGTGGGTTCTTAACTGTGAGCGTTGTGGTTCTGCTGATGTCTTTTAGGCTGTTAAGATGTGTGAGGTCTGAATTAATATTTTATATAAGCTCTGTGAGTCACACAGTTATATGGCACTGTATTTTCATGCAATGTAAACATTGTACAGACGAAAATGTACATTTTAAAACATGAACATCTAAAATATATCACATTTTTTTTTTAAATGGACGAAAGTCAAGTGCTGGGACCCATGGGGGAGAGGTGGCTTGTGTACCTATAGGCGCCCCCTGTTGTCTGGCCAAGCCCGAGGTCAGGCAGCATTTACAAGCAGGTGGTAGACCACCCCGGGTATAAACGTATATTCCAATTTACATAAGTGTGGGTGTTAAACAGCATTAGCTTTAAGTTTATAAATAAAAAGGAGGGCAGGTGGCTGTGTTTGTATTTGGGCGCCACCCCCCCCCCCCCCCCCCCACCCCCATCCCCCGCCTGTCAAAGGGAGGCCAGCTTTCAAAGTCGTTTATCAGAATGGGTCTGACTTCTGCATGTCCTGCTCTCTGGGTCTTTCCTGCTCTACCTCCCAATTCTTCCAAAGTGAGATCAGCTGTTTCCAAGCTGGAGCTCATGTGCATAGAGATTAGGTCCCTCTAATCTCTGGGCAGGAACGTGGTATCTTACGGACGACCTCGATGCCTCCCAGAAAATGTGGTGCGGCCTCCCAGGCCACGAGCCACATTTGTCACTTTGTAAACACCCTTCCCAGTGGTTGGGAACCCCTTCCTGACTGTCTTTTACCTACCCACCTTCCTTCAACAGAGATGCAGGCTCAGAACCAACAGAAGTGTGTAGAAGGTGTGTGTGTGGGGGTGAATGCATCTGTGTGTCTGCAGTGAATGTATGGAACTCAGTTTCTCTGAAGTGCATTTGTCCCAATCAGGTGTGATTTTCTGGAATCACGCCCACTTTCGCGTAAGCCGTGGATATCTGTGACACAGCATCCACGTAGCCACAAGCCTCTCCCCTCGCCTTTCATTTGCATAGTTGATAGTTGCCTGTTTCTTTCCATTTTCTATGTTTTGGCTCCTGTATGCCTTTCCCTGTTTAGCTTCCAGAATGTTATATCTTAAGAGAGGGAGCAGGTCTGTCTCTGACTTGGGCAGTTAACACTGAGGGATTTTCTTAGGATTTAGGATGGAAGCTCCACCATCTTAGGCGGTGGTGTGTTTGTGGGGTCGCCAGGAGACCATACGTGAGAAGCAGCGTTACCTTACCTTCAGCTCTCACAGCTGAGGACTGAATGAATAATTATTGTGTCCAAATTCTTTGCAGTTTGGACTTAGGTAATTTAAACACATTTTAGTGGAGACCAGTTTTTGATCCCTACAGGGAAGAATAAGAATTCTCAAGTGAAGTTAATCTGATGTGTGTCAAAACTGTGATGAAAACTTAACCACATGTTCGCTTGGATAGGCACCAAACTCAAAACACACTGTAATACACTTGCAGCATTACCAGCGACTGAAAGGTCGTTGTTGTTTGGGTTGATTGTGGTTGATTCGCTTCAATTATTTCCTTCACATTGGCACCCTTGATGCAGCTTCTGTTTCGGACGGAATTATGTAAACAGGTCCCAATGTTCTCGTCCATCAGGATTGGAGTGCGGAGGGCAGGAACACGTGTTCACGCCGCCGTCGGCCCTGACCCATTCCTGGGTGTTCTCTCTGTCAGGCAGCAGGGTGGAGTCAGCTCAAACTAGAGCTCGAAGAATCCTAGAAGACCAGCAGTTTTAGGAAGGGCAGGAGTCCTCCCAAGGCACGCAGTAACAGTTTAAGAACTGGTCTCTGCCAGGGAAGTGTGAACAGGGAGTGACCTGGCCCCAAAGACCCATTCAGGCCCCAGCGACACCCCAGGCCCATGGCTGGGTGTGTGAGGCCCCCTGGTAATCACAGTGTGAGCGTGGTGGGTCCCCGGGGATAGTGGAGCTACAGTGGAACAGAACCGGTCCGTACGTGACGCCAAGGGTAGGATTGTTGGGAGGAGCAAAGTTCTGTGAAATAGACCCCGTGTAAAATGATTGAGACGGGCACCCACACACACTCCTGTGGGTTCTGAGCCCTCATACCCCTGTTGGAGGAAGCTTGGCTGGTCAGGAAAGGACAGTGAGGAAGGGGCTCTCAACCTCTGTGAAGCCAGCGTCCCGAGGTCCTGGGATGCACAGCAAAACCAGAGACATATCCTTGCCTGGGTAGAGCTGGCCCCTAAATGGGGGGATAGCGCTTGCTCTGGGACCCAGGACTGGGGGTGGTTTGTGACAGTAGGACCACTATGAAGCCTTGAACCAGAAGGGCCGTTGGGGAGCTTGTGTTGGGGGCCGAGGGGGTGGGGGGTGAGGGGGCAGTAGCACGGAGGTAGGGGAGCGGGTGGGTGTGGCCCTGGGGCTCTGGTTCTTTTGTGTGTGGCGACACCTAGTGGCCAATCCCTTGACTTCCACAAGGAGAGGGCCAACTGACCATTAGCCCTTGGACACAGGACAGACTCAGAAGACTTTTACCCCTGGAAGCCCTAATTCCCAATTTGAAGTCTTCATGGAGCATTTCAGATGACCTCGGAGAACACGACAGCCCAAGGCACACAAAATACTCAGGAATGAGAGTCTTTGGAAAAGCTAAATTTGGTTATGGAGACTGGATTAGGGACTTGTATTTGACCGTAAGTGATGTGGAGATGGTAGGGGGTGGAAGCCCAGACCCCACAGGCTGTCTGGGTTCTCTCTTCAGCCAACTGGGCCAGGGCTGAAGGAAGACGGGGCAAGCGAAGCAGCCACGGCCCCGGCCCTCCAGCAGGTGCAGGAAGACAGTGAGTGAGCACCCCGGCAGGTGCGCTATGAAGCGGACAAGGGACTTCCCTGGTGGTCCAGTGGTTAAGATTCCATGCTCCCAATGCAGGGGGCACGGGTTCAGTCCCTGGTCGGGGAACTAAAATCTGCATGCCGCATGGTGTGGCCTAAAAAAAAAACAAAAGAAGAAGAAACTGGGATGCGATGGGACCACGTGCCCAAGAGGGCCTGGGTGGGGCGCACGACCTACCGCAGTCATGCAGTCAGGAAAGGCTCCCCAGGAAGGCATCTAAGCGAGCGGAAAAGAAGCCAGTTCCAGCCTGGGGACCCCAGTGCAAAGGCTGCTGGGGAGGAGCTTCTTGGCAGGTCCTAGAAACAAACTGGGGGCCAGCGAGACAGAGGGGAGGAGTGGGAGCGAGAGGCAGAGCCGGCCATGTGGGGTCCTGGCAAGGGCGTGAAGCGTATCCTGGGGTAGGTTGGAGTGGGGAGAAATGTCATCCATTCTGGCTTTTAAAAAGATCATTCCAGTTAGGTAGCCTCATCCACCAGAGGGCAGACGGCAGAAGCAAGAAGAACTACAATCCTGCAGCGTGTGGAACAAAAACCACATTCACAGAAAGTCAGACAAGATGAAAAGGCAGAGGGCTATGTACCAGATGAAGGAACAAGATAAAACCCCAGGAAAAACAACTGAATGAAGTGGAGATAGGCAACCTTCCAGAAAAAGAATTCAGAATAATGATAGTGAAGATGATCCAGGACCTCGGAAAAAGAATGGAGGCAAAGATCGAGAAGATGCAAGAAATGTTTAACAAAGACCTAGAAGAATTAAAGAAGAAACAAACAGAAATGACCAATACAATAACTGAAAAGAAAACTACACTAGAAGGAATCAATAGCAGAAGAACGGGTAAGTGACCTGGAAGACAGAATGCTAGAATTCACTGCTGCGGAACAGAATAAAGAAAAAAGAATGAAAAGAGGGCTTCCCTGGTGGCGCAGTGGTTGAGAGTCCGCCTGCCGATGCAATGGACACGGGTTTGTGCCCCGGTCCGGGAGGATCCCACATGCCGCAGAGCGGCTGGGCCCGTGAGCCATGGCCGCTGAGCCTGTGCGTTTGAAGCCTGTGCTCCGCAACGGGAGAGGCCACAACAGTGAGAGGCCCGCGTACCACAAAAAAAAAAAAAAGAATGAAAAGAAATGAAGACAGCCTAAGAGACCTCTGGGACAAATTAAACGCAACAACATTCACATTATAGGGGTCCCAGAAGGAGAAGAGAGAGAGAAAGGACCAGAGAAAATATTTCAAGAGATTATAGTCAAAAACTTCCCTAACATGGGAAAGGAAATAGCCACCCAAGTCCAGGAAGTGCAACGAGTCCCATACAGGATAAACCCAAGGAGAAACATGCCGAGACACATAGTAATCAAATTGGCAAAAATTAAAGACAAAGAAAAATTATTGAAAGCAGCAAGAGAAAAACGACAAATAACATACAAGGGAACTCCCATAAGGTTAACAGCTGACTTCTCAGCAGAAACTCTACAAGCCAGAAGGGAGTGCCATGATATACTTAAAGTGATGAAAGGGAAGAACCTACAACCAAGATTACTGTACCTGGCAAGGATCTCATTCAGTTTCGATGGAGAAATCAAAAGCTTTACAGACAAGCAAAAGCTAAGAGAATTCAGCACCACCAAACCAGCTCTACAACAAATGCTACAGGAACTTCTCTAAGTGGGAAACACAAGAGAAGAAAAGGACCTACAAAAACAAACCCAAAACAATTAAGACAATGGTCATAGGAACATACATATCGATAATTACCTTAAACGTGAATGGATTAAATGCTCCAACCAAAAGACAAGGAGCAAATCAGACTCGCTGAATGGATACAAAAACAAGACCCAGGGCTTCCCTGGTGGCGCAGTTGTTGGGGGTCTGCCTGCCGATGCAGGGGACGCGGGTTCGTGTCCCGGTCCGGGAGGATCCCACATGCCATGGAGCGGCTGGGCCCGTGAGCCATGGCT